CCTGTTGACTCGAGCTTTACTGCAGTCACGTATCCAGCGTTCACATGATGCCGCAGTACACGGCAGTACTCCTTTGCTACTTCTGGTTCCTTGTGGAGGCGTTTCTCTGTCGAGCGCAGTCTCTTCAGTGCCATCTCGTAGCTACCGTTCTCCTCTGGCGGGCTTCTCTTCCAAGGCAGCTTGACGGTGTGCGTGCCGTTGCAGTACTTTGTTGCTGCCTCTGCATCTGCAAGAGTTTGTCGGTCATTTGCTGCAAGCGGGCTCTGTCGGCGAGGCTCTTCCACCTCCCACATACGCCGGACCAGCATCTCCAGATTACCGTCATCGACTCTGCTGAAGTGAGTGCGGTGATGATCTGAGCTTCCACTCACAGGTCCAACCTAGCGCGGTTCTCCTCGCCACCAGTTCTTCCTGATCACCCCTCATCTCCTCCAGAGAGTAGTGAAGCTCGGCATGATCCAGGCCAATCAGCGTATCAACCTGGCGAGTTGCTGGCTGTTCGAAGGGTATGTCCTGCAGATGATGGTACTGACTTGACTCGACGGTCCAATCGTACGGTTTCAGTGTGCCTGTGACGTGACTAGTTGTGATGGCTGAGAACGGACTGATGAACTTGCCATCTACACTCTCTACCAGCAGATCCACTGGCATTGACTCGAAAGACTCCACTGCTCCGTTGAGGGTGCTGATCGAAACCTGTTTCATGGGTCCCTGCAAGTTGAGCTGGTCCGCTACCTCTGTGTTCACATAACTTTGGGTGCTCCCATCATCCAACAGCGCATTCACCCTGAGGTTGCGGTCACCGTTTCGTAAAACGACCGGCAAGGTTCTCAGTGACAACGGTCTGGCGCCTGCTCCGATGTTAGCAGTGGTTGTGGTTCTGGCTGTCTCATTGGTGCGACCCCTTTCCGTGCCATTGCTGGCTCTAGACATGTCAATGGCTACTGCCCTGTGAAGCAGATAGTTGTGGGTATCGCTGCACTTGTCTACGCCACACTTTCTCTTCCGCTGGCAGTCAGCACCTTGGTGGCCCTTGCCCAGACAGCGATAGCAGAGCCAATGGGTTTTTGCCACTTTCCAATGCTTGTCCACATCCATTTCCTTGAACTCTTTGCATGTCCACACTTGATGGTCCTGGGAGCATACTGGACACGCTGCCGGTGTCAGATTGGGTGACTCTGCTGCATGGAATGAGTGGCCTCGGGCTGCTGGGCGCTCTCGGCCATGTCTATGGCGACCAGGTGCTAGGCCTGCGATGGCTTCATTGGCGATAATGTGAAAGTCGGCCTCGAGATTGACCCACTCGAGCAACGCCTCCACCCCTTCTGGGCGCTGATGCTCATAGAGCCATTTATGGTACCGGTATCTTGTCAGCAGGTCTTCTGGCAGCAGCTTCTGCTGGATTCGCGCGTACAGAGTGCCCACCTCTAGCTCCGATTGGCGACCCGCTGCTTTCAAGTTGGTCACGGCTACTTCCAACAAATCTGAGAACTGTTCCAGATCTTGTGCGTTGACTCGATCTCCGTGCAATGGCTTGAATCGTTCCACTTTATCTAAGTACACCATCACTTGGCGCCGCGTACCTCCGAATTTCCGTTCCAGGCGTTCCATTGCCTTGTGGTATGAGTCCGGGGCGTACCCTAGCCGCTCGATGCATCTTAGCGCTTCTCCCGCTACATACTGTCGTAGCTGCAACAGCTTCAAGGTTGGGCTGATTGGCGCACTGTCCACGCACGCCAGGAACGTGGCCTTCCATAACTCATAGGCACGCTTATCACCATCAAACACGGGTATTGAAATGCTTCTCATTTTACTGAAGACGTCTGTGGCTCCAGCTGGTGGTGCAGCAAAACTAGATGGCCTCGATGGAGCTGGTAGAACATTGTAGCTGCCGCTGTGGCCATGTGCCACACTCTGTGTAGGCCTGAAACTTGCTCGAGGTACAAATGGGGCGGCTGCCACAGACTGGTGTAATGTATGGGTTGGTCTCTGGCTACTTCCACTCATGACTGATGTGTGTACCCTGCTAGAGTGAACAGGGGCTGATTGCCTGGGCAGTACATTGCTATTGGTTGCTTGTACAGCTACAGGTGCGCTGGTGTTGCTGGCCTGACTCAGTGGCACTGTGGGGCCTGCTGCTGCTGCTGCTGCTGGCGCACTGCTACTTGTGCGGGAACTGATGCTATGGTTACTACTGGTACTAGAACTGGAGTGGTGACTGCTCCCTGCACTCACACTGACTGGTGGAGTAGAGCTGGAGCTTGTGGGTGCACTTACAGATGAAGAAAGTGAGGTGATTGCGCTTTTACTTGAGACACTGGCACTAACAGGCCTGTTGGTGCTGAATGTGTTGCTTGCTGCAGATGTGTCCGTGTTGCTTGTGACAGGAGTGAAGTCCGCACTGACGCCACCAGGTGCGGAAGACGGTCTAGCGGACTGTGCAGAACTCGCAGACTGAGCAGTTCCTGACACCCCACCTAATGGGTCGTGAGCAGCGCTGAAGCTTGATGGCATAACAGGGTGGTACTGACTGAACCCTGCGGAATGACGCGTACGAATATGTTGTTGCTCCTCGTACATCTCCACCTGCTGCTCCAGGTGCGCCATTGCTTCTGCCACTTCCTCCAGCTCCGTTATTGCTGCGTCGACTGCTTTGCCTTTTTCTCGGCTTGAAAACACGTCACCAGTGACTCCAACACCTGATTCACCTCGTTGGCGAACCATTGCACTGCCTCGAATTTGTCTCTCACGGCATCCAAACTCAACTCCTCGTCACGGATCTGCAAAATCAAGCCTCGTCGCCGCGACGTCAAGCGCCGTTTCATTTGAATTTTTGCCACTCTCATGTCTGCAGATGCCGAGGCCACAGCATCGTTGACTTGCTCTTCCTGGCCGTCCGTATTACCAGGCTCAACATAATCGCCAGGCTTAACATCATGGGCAGGCCCAACATCATCGCCTACCGTGACCCTGTTCCGCTCGTGACTGATATTGTCGCTGTGTTCAGACATCTCGCTCCGATGGACTTCCGACTAGGTGAAGATAACCATCCTCTGCTACCATTAGACGAGAGAGGGATCTGACTCACAGAGATAATAACAAATAATCTTTACTTCAGGATGAGACACTAAAAAAGCAACTGAACTACACGAGAGGAATAACTGCAAGCTGTAACTGACTGAAACAACGAAAAGAACAACTGTATACGTCTCCAGTCCAAAACAACAAGACACCGACTCAACTAATTATGCACAGAAACTACAAGCCGCGAAGTCCGTTTCACGCGCGCGCGGGAAACGGCACATGAGACATGCATAACAACACAACACGATGCACTACTACTACTACTACATGCATCATGAATAGCATGAATAGCACGAAAGAACAGCCAGGAATAATTATGATCAGACTGGTCCACACAGGAACAATAAATGTATCACCTCTACGCGTGCACACAGCATAACTGACACCAAAGGAGGGCACGTTGATTCGGGCATGCATTGGAATTACCATGAACGTACTGACACCCAAAAGCTAGCGGCAGTGATTTGCCATAACACCATACATAGACTACTGAAAGAGGTTCACCTTCTACTCAGGTGTATAGACCAAACGCCTTGAGGTCGTCGCGTAACACATCATGCCATCGACGCCTGGGGCCATGGGCAGGGCATGGAGTATGGAGCGACGAGAACAACACTGCCTTTGGAAGCCGGTGGTCATCCATCCTGGCAATGTGGGCAAGCCACTGCAGCCGTCGATGGGCAACCATGTCAGCAACTGGCTCTGTAGCGCACATCCTATGCAGCGAGGCAGATGACAGGTGGTCCTCCCACTGTTTGGAACGCGAGATGCCAAGAATGACACGAACACAGCGGTTGTGGAATTGTTCAAGGCAACGTATGTCGGCAGGCAATAGTGTCCAGTTCTTAGCCCCGTACAACAGCA